AAAAAAAAAGCAGTTAGTCACTGTTTTCAGATTTCCTTAGGGCAAGACTAAAGAACTGATGGGGCTGGGGCTTCTTTAATTGAATATACTTACTTTTTGTCTGGAAGGAGGCTCATGTGAGCACCGTTGTTAAACAGGACACCTACGGTGTGGTCTGAGAGCTGGTACCCAAAGCCGTATTTGTTAGAGTAATCGACCCATTTGGTGACCCACTGAAAGGAGGTGCTCAGCTGCTCTCTGGGAATGCAGTCAGCTTCTGGCATGTTTTCTAGACATCCTCGAAGGACTCTTGCCACTGTGTCCGCGACACTTCCCATGGTACTGTCCTCAAGGCCTGAAAAGTCAGAGAAAGTTATTAAACAATTAACAACAAAACCTTAGGCTGTAGTAGATGCTAAGTCTCCTTCCACCACTTTTAAGGACACAGGACTTAAAGTTACTGTGATTGATTGTCTAATTTTGCTTCTTCTATTAAATTAGGCCACAAAACAAACTGACTTCTGTTACCTAGTATTGAGCACTGGCATTTAGGGTGTCGTTATTTAAAATGCGATTGACAGCAACTTACATTCACTGCTACTGCTGCAGCTGCCAAGAGTTCCTCTGACTATCATCCGAATAGCATCTCCAATCTGCTGCTTGCTTTCTACTGCGGGTGCTCCAGACCTGGCAACTGTAGTGGTAGGTGGCTGGGGTTCCTAGAAAAGAGAAGAGCCAGGCAATAGTTAAGCATTAACGTAATAGTTAACAGTTAACCATGAGGTTGAGAATTCTAGTTTAAGATGAGATTCTGGCTATTACTAGGAAACCTTATGACACATGCCAGGTAAAAGAGATTTTGGTAACTCAACAGCATGTGTGGTTAAACTAAGAGATAAAAATCTTTTCCTTTTCAAGGGTTGGAAGAAAAGCTTTAAGTAAATACTTCATGATCTGAGTGATAATTAACAAAGAACGGAAATGATATAAAGTGTTTATAACTATTTTCTTGTTTCCAGCATACCTCATCTGTCCTATGTTTGCTGGGTTGCTGAGTTATTGAAGTCTTTTTCAGATCATGCCTGAGCTTGTAAATGTCTTCATCTTCTTTAGACACTCTATCTGTAAATCAAGGAGAGAATTATGAGCATTTTTCTATCCTAACAAGGTAGGAACAGAGCTAGCCATATTTCCTCCTTTTGCATTAATAACTAACTTAAGAGCATCCAAAGCAAAATGAGCATTTTTAATCTTTGCCATCAGCTGCAATTATGCAAGAAGCACACACTTTAATGTATGGAAAGCAAAAAGCTATCAACCATGATTTGCAGTGTGGGTTTAACATGCTATAAAAAGCTTAATAGCATACAAACATACAGGGCAAATTATATTACTATGAAAGCCTCTTTTAACTAACGTATCCACTTTACATATAATATTAGATACAGAAGAGCAGACAAAGTCTTAACAACTTACTATGTGTGTCAATATATCTTGCTTTGTCTTTTTTGCCACCAAAAAGAGCAGCAGCTGCTTTCTTAAAGAAATTCTTAGCTGGACTTGACAAGTGGAAATCTGGAACCGTATGACAACAGCTAGAAGAGAGTCTGTCTGGAGTGAAGCCCTGTGAAGTATAAGAAAAGACTTTCAGCAACCTGCTGAGTAACTGGGATCAAGAGCATGTAATAAAAAGATGCAAAAAAATGTACCAACCTGCAAAAAAAATTCATGCCGAATGATGTCATCCAAACTGGGACGATCCTCTGGATTTTTGGACAACATGCTGGCTATTAAGTGCTTAGCAGGAGCCACCAATGAGGAGGGCATTGTATACCTTGCTTCTCTTATGCACCTGTACGTTTCCTTCAGATTTGTAGTTTCAAATGGTGGTCTTCCTAGTAACATTGTATACCTGTGTGCAAGGAAATGCTTCTTTAGTAATTGGTCAGAAAGCAACCCTTTCTGAGTGTTAAAATCTACATCCAAATTTGCTTTTAATATTTTGGTGCATTTACTTACATTACACAGCCTAAGGCCCAAATGTCTGATTCACAGCCGTGTCCTTGTTTGTTGAGGACTTCCGGAGAAAGATAATTTGGGGTACCACATATCGTTCTGGAAAAACAAAATATGAAGATCTCATTAGGAACTATTCTACTGCTTAAACTTAGCTCTCTGGATAAACCCTTAAAGGCACTATGTTGAATTTCTCTTTGAAAGCATTTGACTTTTGATTTTGGGCATGTGAACAACTGGCTTCTGACCAAGCGACTTGGTAATTTTTTTTAATGCACGTACAGTTTTTTTTTTCAGCCACATGACAAAGTGTTTTAAGCCAACTGAGACCAGGTACAGCATGAAATTTTTATACATTTCAGGCAAATGTAAGACAGATCTGTTTCATAATGAACTTACAGGCGTAAGGGACTCTGCTTGGTCCACAGTGGCACTGAATAAGTGTTTCCTTAAATTAATACTGTAGTAGTTCATAGATTTTAGTGTCAACTGATCTCTGAAACATTAATTGGGAAATAAAAGAGGCGTATTTGAGCTCCACTAAACCCTAGTGGAATGTATCTTTCTGACTCTTACCTCCTTCTGTGTTCCAGGGGTTCCAGCCGAGCTGCCAAACCAAAGTCCCCGACTTTTAGTTCCATGGCTTCATTAATGAAGAAGTTCCCTAGTGGTAAGCAAAACAAAATCTGAGTTCCCTCGAAAAGGTACTCTAACCAAGTACACACACATCCACTCAAGAGGCAGGGATTCAGTCACTTAATTCCAAAAGGCAGGGATTCAGTCACTTAATTCCAAAGCAAGGTTGCATTGGCTAGATCCCAATTAAGAACATCAGATAAAAAAGGGGGAGAGAGAGAAGACAAGAACATCCCTCTCTGACACAAAAGCCAGGGTTTGGAGTAAAAGGCTTACCTAGTTTGAGATCTCTGTGCAAGATTTCTTGTTCATGAAGGTACTTCAGTCCAGACACAATCTGCCTGAGGTAGTATCGGACTTCTGGTTCTGTCAACACCTTCCTCGCTTTCAAGATATGAGCCATGGACTGGGAAGAGGAGGAGGAAAAAAGAGAATCTGTCAAACAAAGTTACCAAAATCAGTGGTTTCCTTGTCATGAAAGTTAATGCTGCGCTATAATCATTACCTCCGAACTCAATCCCCAGATAAAGTGCAATCTGAATGCCATGTCAGTCTAGGGGAAGTAAGCTCACTCAAATAGGAGTTAACACTTACCCTTCTACTGCAGTATTCCAAGAGAATGTAAATGTTTTCTTTGTCCTCAAAGTAGTGGTAAAACTGCACTACGTGCTTATGATGCAGAATTCTGTGAAGCTCGATTTCTTTGTCGATCTAAGAGAAAAGCAAGCAAGATCAGTCTCATTAGCCTCACTCACCTCTGAAAAGCCAGTTGCTTACACATGCAGAAGACATTTTCCTAACAGGGAAGGGCCATCCCTGCACACAAAGAAAATACTTTACTCAACAGTCATACACACCTTTTCCCTTTGATGAGGTTTAGCTACTCTGCTGTGAGGAATAATTTTTGCAGCATAGACTTTGTTGTTCGTCAAATCTGTCATCTCGTAACATTTTGCAAAGCCACCCTAAAAGGAAACAAAGCCGACGTGGAATTGAGTATGGCAAGAACATGGACGGCAGATTTTTTTTTAATGTGAAATAAAAGCAAAACTATGGGAGAGGAAGGGTGGACGGAAGGATGCGGTCTACTTTTTAAAAGCTCCTTCACGAAGGGAAAAACATTCCTGAAAACAGTAGGTTGTAACAGTGCCCCTTCTCTCTTTACAAAGGGGAGCTTTCTGGAGAGTGTCGGGAGTGGGGAGATGAGAAATAAGGTCCGAAGAGACTTGTCAAGAAAATTCTCCGGGGGGAGGGAGGCAGCCAGGTCTGGTGTAGAAAGCCCTCGCTTCTGGCTTCAAGATCAATGTCTCTGCGCTGCGGGAGGCAGGCAGAGCCGCGGCTAAGGATGTGAAGCCGATCCCGGCGCTGTCAGCACACAAAAGCCAGAGGAGGGCAGGTAAGCAGCCCACGTCGGGCGGCGGGATCGGATCCCCGAGAAACCGAGAAGCAGCGGGCGCGGGGACTCGGGGTCCGGCCCGGCCCGGGGGACGCCCGGGCAGATCTCCCTCCCGCCTGGCAACCGGCGCCCGCCGCTCGTCACCTTTCCCAGCACTTTGCCGCGGCAGTAGCGCTTCCCCGTCGTGGGGTCGACGATAATCCGCGAGATCTCGGCGCCCGAGTGCGAGTGATGGTGATGGTGGTGCGGGGCCGCCGGCTGCACCTGCCCCTGGGGCTGCGGCGGCTGCGGCTCCTCGAGGGGCGGCTGTGGCCGCTTCTTCTTCGAGTCCCCGCCGCAACCCTTGC